ATATATAATAAATATGTGAGGTGTATATATATATGTATATATATATATATATACATATATATGTATACACATGTATATATAATAGTAAATGCTATCCCTATACGAATCAAAGAACGAACTAAGCAAATATTTTTTAATAAGTCAAGACAGTAAATGTATAATAATAGACAAATTATATTTATATCTCTATCTGCAACAAATGCACTATATTCTTATAAAAAGATTATTACGTTGTATAGAATAAAATATAACATTTTTAAAATATAATATAATATATATTAATCTAATATATTTTAATATAATATAATGCAAATAATATATTATAATCGGTTAGAATAACAAAAAACAGAGAAGTTTTGCTTCTCTTTATAGCGCAGCTTTTATAGACACAAGGAGAGACACAGAGAGATAAACCCTCTCTGTCTCCTGCTTGCTGCTGCTGCTGCTGCTGCTGCTGTCTTGTTGCTGCTCTCTTGTTGCATTCATCCCGCACATCCCCCTAAACCCCAAACCCTAAACCCTAAACCCTAAGTATTTAAAAGTACCTTTGGCTCTCTAGAACAGCTTAAGATATTTCTTTTTTTGTTAATTATTATATTTAAATAATTTTTGCATGTATAAAAATGCATATTGCATGCAGCTAGTTGTATGAGTACAGAATATTTTTTTTTGTTTTTGTTTGTTTGTTATTTATTGTTGTTTATTGTTCTTTTATTTTTATCTGTAAGTAATAATAGAGGGGTTTAAATGCCCTGTGTCACCAAACTGTCGCGAAGAGACAAAACCTCGTCTATCGATTGATATCCAAGTAATCCCGCAGTTAAAACATGCAAACCGCAACCAAGCGCATGCAGGCAGCTGCAAAGCCCTAAACAAAACAAACAAAACAAACAAACAAACAAACAAATATATATATATGTATATATATATATGTATACATATATATATATATGTATATATATATATATATATATGCAGGCAGTTGTAAAACCCTAAACAAACAAACGAAGACAGATGAATATATATATGTATATATATATATATATGTCTATGTGCATATACACACACGTATGTATGTGAATATATATATATATATATATATATATAACCAATCCGAATACACAAAAAGGATTAGACACAATTGAAAAGCAAAATAGAAAAGCAAAATAAAACAAAAATAAAAATTAAATTAAATTAAAATTAAATTAAATTAAAATGAAGTAAAATAAAAATAAAGTAAAAATAAAGCAGAATAAAGTAAAATAAAATAAAACAAAATAAATAAAATAAAATAAAATAAAATAAATAAAATAAAATAAAATAAAATGATGACGCAGCAAACCTGCAGAAGAAATAACGAATGATATTTCCATGGCAGACGATGATCGTATACTCTTCAGTTGATGGCTTGCTGCTGCTGCTGCTGCTGCTGCTGCTGTTGCTGCTGTTGCTGCTGCTGCTGTTGCTGTTGCTGTTGCTGCTGTTGCTGTTGCTGCTGGGGGTGGCATTGGTGCTGCCTGTCTGCGGTTTGTTGCTCCCTGCTGCAGCTTCTTGCTGGTGCTGCTGCTGCTGTTGCTGCTGCTGCAGCAGCAACTGCTGCTGCTGCTGCTGTTGGTGGTGGTCTGGTCCAGAGGCCCTAAAAAAATATCGCCTGAATGCCTCCTCTATACGTTTGCTGTCGCTGCAAAGAGCAGCAGCAGCAGCAGCAGCAGCAGCAATGTGAGCAGCAGCAGCCGCACAACGAGCAGCAGCAGCAGCACAACGAGCAGCAGGAGCAGCAGCAAGGGCATTACCAGCAGCAGCAGCCGCAGAGTAATCAGCAACAGTACTTTCGCCAGCAGCAGCATCAGCAGTAGCAGCAGCATCAGCAGCATCACACTCCGTAGCAGCAACAGCAGCAGCAACAGCATCACCATAATCATCGTAACAATAAGCGGCAGCAGCAGCATAATCAGCAGCAACAGCAGCAGCATCTGCAGCAGCAGCATCATCAATAGCAGCAGCATCATCAATAGCAGCAGCATCATCAATAGCAGCAGCATCATCAGTAGCAGCAGCATCATCAGCAGCAGCAGCATCATCTGCAGCAGCAGCATCACCAGCAGCATCAGCATCATCGGCAGCAGCAGCAGCAGCAGCAGCAAAATGAATACGATGATTTGAGCTTACGCTTGCACAACATGTTTATTTGGCTGGAAGAGAGACGAAGGAGGCACAGGCAGCGAAGGAACCCCCTCAGCTAACAACGGGTCTTGCACCGTTGCAGGAGTGCTGCTGCTG